TCATGCCTAGAGCTGATCTGTGCTGGTCGCTGAGGGACTACATCAACTTTCACCGTGGATGAAGCGGAATCCAGCCCGGGGTCGTCACATGTGGTTGCCGCTCATTTGTCGGATCCACCGGGCGTGCCGTTCTCGACCCCGACGCCTCAGCTTACTCTATCCCGGCCTCAGCGCACGCTAAGCCGGGGCTTTCGCTCACGCTAGGCCACTGTGTGTTTCGTTGTGAAAGTGAAACTACTTTGTTTGGTCTTCCAAAAGAGGACACGACTAGAAATCAGTGGTTAAGTTGTATTTACAACACTGTTCCAGAACACTTCAACCCAAATATTCAGATGTGTGCAGCGCATTTTATGGAGGACTGTTTCCTGATCCTGGGAGAGTAGACTACAATGCCGGCTGTTCTGACTCACGTAAGTACGTTTTCATTTAAAGGATTTGCCACTGATGATTCAAACGTGAGTTTTGAGCAGTGTAGAGTAGCACTTGTTGTTTGTCATTTCTCCGATCACAAATGCAGACAGAGTTTTATGTTAACGCAGCGCGATGCAACGCAACGCATAAAAAGACAGTATAAGTCATTATAATCAGTAATTATATCCCCACTGGATGCAACAAACGCCTCGTTTGTAATGGGTTTTAATGTTTTTGTCTCGTCGCTCCGACCGGACAGGGCATCGCAGTATGGTGAGGGGCGTAACATTTCCGTCTCACGCTTGAGGTATTCGGCCAATCACAACGCACTGGATAGCTGGCCAATCACAGCACACCTCGCTTTTCAGACCGATGAGCTTTGTAAAAATCGACACGTTTCAGAAAGGCGGGGCATAGAGGAGAAACAATAATGTACAGTATGTGGAAAATACATTTCATTACACCAAATACACAAAATAATGTTATTTTTAGCAGCATCATATGACCCCTTTAAAAGGGACTTGAAGATGAAAAGATAGGCCTACAAACACAAGTGATAACATCCATAAACTTTATTATTAAAAATATTTGTAGAGTAAAATTAATCACTATTTGTTCAAACTCCAAAACCTGAGGTAACTTTAACTGAAGTACCAATCATAGAGATCATGAGCTTCTTTATATTCCTTGTGTCGTGCTACATGGTCACAGGCAGTGCAAATAGCCAGAATAAACTCTTGTGTCTGTAATATTAAATGAGGACTTGGAGTGAGATGTTTCCTCCAGTTAAAGTACTTGCGATATGCATCTTCATCCTTGTCCAGCTGAAGCAGATATTCGGCTAGTGACTTTACATCAGGGAAGTCACTGACATGAATGAAGGACTCGGCAGGAACAAAGTTTTCATAGTTTCTTCTCGGAGGACCCAACACCACAGGGACGGTACCTGCTGCGAGCGGCCCGTTTATCTTCTCAGTGATGTAGTCCTTGTGGATGGAGTTCTCAAAGGCAAGGTAAAATTTGCAGCTAGCCAGGGTTGGATAGTAATCATTATAATCCAGGAACCTTGCATAAGCCCTTCCGAACAAAGTCACTTGTATGTATTTCCTGAATTCTCTGTAAAAAACATTCCTTGTGTCGACACCAGTTGAGGGATCGTTGTTACTTACAATCCAACACACCAGTTTGTCCTTTTTGGGAATCACAAAATCCTCATTAGGTTTCTTCCTGGTCATCAAGCGCATCCGTACAGGAATATCAGCGTCCTGTCTGTAGCTGAGCGTGAGATTGAACAGGTTTTCCAGACCTGGGATCCTTTTGGTGTTGGTTGGCGATTCCAAATGCAACCAAATCCACCTCTGGAACGGAGGACGAGGAGACGGAGGAAGGTTGGACAGATCCCAGCTGATGCCTCTGTGATAAA